GCCCCAATCAATACCACACAGCTGGCTAGTGTTGGGCCAGTGCTGTTAGTTGCTGGATGATACAGCTTTAAGACAGGGACATATTGAGTCAGCTACTACCCCCACCCCACCCCACCCCGCAACCACAAGATGGCTTCCCTCCAACTGTTTCCAACTGAGCAGAAAGAGAAGGAGCCCTAACTCATTTCTGTCCCGAAGCCTGCCTCATCCTATTAACCATGTGCCTCCGATCCGGCAGGAATCCTCTGTTACTCCAGGGCAATGCAAACAAAAAAAGAAAATATATGAAAGGAAAGCTGTGGAGAATGTTGCATTTTGTGTGCTTTGGGCTGGCGTTGGTTAGGGAGGCTATGTGATTCAAGTTAATCTTTTGGTTGTCTGGTTGGAGAATCAACTAAATGAGGCTTCTCTGCTCAGCCCTGTAGTACCCAAACCTCACTTCACATCAAACCTCACTTTTCTTTTTTTAACAGCAAAATACTTACTTATGCTTTTACCTGTTTCCATGGAGATGGGACCTAGATGCAGCCTAACCTACATCTGCCATCTTCCCTCCCTGACGGCAGACAGCTCAGCGGTTGGTGCTCGCTCCTCTTGACCTGAGGATGGTGGGGGGGAGGTCGTTCACACCATGCACTAAAGACCAGCATTATGAAAGTTAATCATCTGTGAGGTGGAAATGGATACCGTGCCCCCATAGCACACACACACACACGTAAACACACACACACAATCTCCCGGAGCACTAGTCTATCTCCCACGAAGGCGTGATTACACACACACACGTACAGTCAAATATGCTGTGGAAGCTCAAATTTTGATTGCATACATTACATAGGCCTACTTGAACTAAGTGGAATGCTAAGGAAAAAGCTGAAGAGAAGACCGTAACAACATTCTGAACAGAACTCAGCACCTACAGGCTCCTTGAACCAGGACTCTGCTCCACTGTTCCATTCCAGTAGCCAAGCCGACCACACAGATGGCCATACAATCCCATTCCAATCATACTGATTGCTGCCACAACAAGAAATTATTAATAGCCCCTAGCCTAGCCACTGTAAAACCCGCATAAATCATGCATGGTATCCATCATCAACATCGCCATCATAATAATTTGCCTTGATGAAGACGACAATGGTGTGTACAAGGGAGATGACAGATCGGACACTGTGCCAACTTCACACAGTGAAACACAACCTCAATTTTGAGGTTGCTACTGAAAACCACAAGGAGCATTTGCTGGGCCATGTGAGGGTAGATGAGCACCACCAGCGGAGGGAAAATGGCCAGTGTATGAATGGGTGTTACAGGGGGACTGTGAAGCAACACATAGACACATGCATACAAACACAGGGAGTGATAAAACACTAAATTAGGTTAGAGGTATTGGTAGCCAAGATAGAGCACTTATAATCAGGGGTTACATTTGTATTTTGTTGGGGTTGTACTGTCCCCATAATTCATGGCTTTTCTATCATACTTTTTTACTGTAGCATACAGTAACTCTGTTCCATTCCATTGTTGTCCCTATATCGTGGGTGGTGGAACTCTTCTCCATGCAGTTCCTCTCTATTTTACCCATGTAAAAGCCCATAAGAATATCCATTTATGAATACTCATTGAAATGTAACTATTGTACCACAGACTAAGACCTGATTATTGATGTCATTATACTGAAGTGTGTCGTTTGATCATAATCCTAAAGACGTAAGGTAAAGACAAATTAAGCTGTCAGTGCATAAGACGTCTCTTCAGTTGAAAATGTGAAATCTAGAGAAGGAGTTGCCTTGGCAACAAAGAGACTTGTATGATCAGACGATGGAGTAAATGGGTCTCTGTGGCCAACTGGTTTCATTTGTGTGCATTATACTACATTAAATATTTTCAGTGGTGGTAAGTGTCTATTTCTAAGTACTACAATGACAATACAGGTAAATACAAGCCCCATGAGATATCTCACCACAAATATAGTTTCAGAATTCACATTATACTGTCACAACTCAGCCTTACTTTGTGCCTTTGACCCCTCTATCTGAGTGTATACATACTATGAGGTAATTATCCAATGAATGGAATAGAAATCTGAAAAACCCTTGAAAGTTTATCTCAGCTTCAAGCTTGATGTTTTTCTGCTCTCGTATTGTAATTGCAGGCAGATCTTCTCCGCTTGTTGAGTTACACAAGCACATAATCCTAAAGTAAGTGCTCCAAAACACTCCTGATCCCTGTGCCAACCAGGAAGAACAGTTTCCTGATACATTTACATTTTAGCAGACACAGTTACCCAGAGTTCCTTACAGCAGCGAGTGCATACATTCTTATACTTTTTTTTCTCGTACTGGTCCCCCGTGGGAATTGAACCCACAACCATGGCGTTGCAAGCACTATGCTTTACACAAGACTCAGGACTGCAATCCCACTATAAAAGGATTACAGTACAGCAGGCCAGCCTGACTGCTAAATTGGCAGAGTTATGATTGGGACTAGTTCCATTAAGTATTGTGTGTGTGTGTGTGTGTGTGTGTGTGTGTGTGTGTGTGTGTGTGTGTGTGTGTTCATGCCAGGGTACTTTGTTTTTGTATTTGGTGGCAGTTACAGAATATCATATTGTAAAGATCAAAGATACATATGCTGCAGCACATGTCGAAAAACTGTCAACTACAGCTGGAGAATAAATTAGAGGGCGTTGCATAATTAAACCTCTCTGCTCAAGCTGCTTTAACTCTGACACATACTGATGTTATGTCACCATCTTGTGGCCCATTGGTGGTCTAAATCTGGAAGATTGAATTACTGTGCTCAAACCATCCCTGAGGCAACATGAAATGAATACAATCCATTAATAAGCATAACTGCCTTGTGAAAAAGACAATACCGTACAGAGGGCGTACCTCAACACTCCATGTCGGATATATGCATATGTTATACACACACAATGTGTATGAAAAAATTGGTTTGAGATCATCTAATTTGCCTCTACGGCTCTCTGTCATTTCCAAACACGTTGACAAATTGCAGAAGGGTTGTCAGTTCACAGTGGCCTATTTGCATGTTTTATCTGCCAATGAAAGCCAAACAAAACAGGCCTCCAGGTTTCAAGTTTATTTGTCACAAGTACAATGAAATGATTAATATGCAAACCCTATCCAACAGCGCAGTACTCAATATAAAAAAACTATAACTAATTTAAAAAAATTAAATTAAAAAACACGATAAATAATAAATAAGAGAGGAGGCTATATATAGGGTATACCCACAGTAGCCTACAATACAATTGTGTACTTAAATAGAAACAATGTTACAATACAGGTTAAACTATCCATAAAGACACTGCCCTCCTCGTCAGAGCACTCTTGTTTCTCCCTCAGTGTCACCATGGTTCCTCTCCCTAGTTGCCTGGAAACCAGCTCCTCCTGAAAATTGAGGAGACTACAGTTTTACATTTTAGTCATTTAGCAGACGCTCTTATCCAGAGCGACTTAAAGTTAGTGCATACATCATTTTTTCCCCACCCCCCGTGGGAATCAGACCCACAACCCTGGCGTTGCAAACGCCATGCTCTACCAACTGAGCTACATCCCTGCCGGCCATTCCCTCCCCTACCCTGGACGACGCTGGGTATGGATTCGAACCAGGATCTCTAGTGGCACAGCTAGCACTGCGATGCAGTGCCTTAGACTACTGCGCCACTCGGGAGAACATAATTAAAGACCACCCCCACACTTTACAATAACTACATTTATCTTAAATAGATCATATCGCCGTAGTACATTTTTTGTAATATAGGCCTAAATTACAAAAACATTCACATTTAGGTTCTTTATAAATCATCCAAATGGACAATAGTCTAACACTTGAATTACCTCAATGGTTTTTAAAAGAGCCATGTGGTATTAATATTCAAATAAACAAAATATGCTGTCTGACAATGTGACTCAGATAACCATCATTAAGTGTGCAAATTGCAGCAATAGAGGTTTTTGTGTAACACTCACATGGTCATTTAAAAAAAACATCACAAATACAGTTGTCTTTTTTACAGTCACACCGACACTAGGCCTATAATCACCATCCCATCTTAGATGGGCCCTGTCTATTTCATCTGTCACACAGAAAATTTATGAATTAATTACACACAAACTGGTTTATTCATTATGCAAAACGAAGTCCTGTCAATCCATAGGCCTATATCTAATTTGTTATTAGGTGGTCTACATTTACCAGTAGGCCTATGCAATTTACAGGAAATATATACATACTTTGTGAGTATTGCTGACAAAATCAGAGACATTAATTTTTTCCTCAGTCAAGACAATGAAAATGATCTGGTCATTACTCCCACATTTGGTATCTTTTTAAAGCTGAACTGTGTGTAACCAAAGACTTCCCCCTGTAACCAAAAGCTAAGAGCCAATTTATGCTTGATCTGAAAATGTGTCTGAGGCGCCGTATGGATGGTGTGACACAATAGCGGAGCCTCCAGAGGCAGCAGAGGCCATATGGAGCTCTGTACCGCGTCGCCGTGCGCCTCTCAAATGTTGCAACAAAGCGGAGGGCTCCATATAGCTCCGCATTGACATGATTGATTGACGGTAGGTCCTGTATAAACACAAACTCACTTCCTTGACATCTTCTTTCACAACAGCTCTGCTCAGCGAAGCGCAAGAAGTATGAATGCCCTGACTTCTGCAGAGGCCATATCACCGTAAATACTGCACAGCCAATGCAGAAGTCGGAATGACCATGCAGCGTCTTTCAAGGTGAAGGGCCTAGTGTAGCAGTTTAGTACACATCCCAAGAAGCAACTGCAGAGCAATGTGGAGGGACTTCCGTATTGCAAAGCATTTTGGTACTTGTGTACACTTCCAAATAACTAGCTAGTTTGTAATTTAGCTCGATTTTAGAGGCACGAGCAGTTATTTTGTGTCGTTTCCTCAATTGATATCGATAGTGTTACACTTGTTTATGAACAAAACTAAAATTAAATAAACATCGGTATGGCGGAGGGTGCCAGCGGTAACGCGGTGAATCTTCCTCCCGGAGATCCTCAGCTAATTGGTCTCATCGTGGAACATCTCAAGAACCGAGGATTGTTCGACGAGTTCCGCAGAGACTGCCTGGCAGATGTGGATACAAAGGTATATAGCGTTCAAATGTTTCTGACTAACTAGCTATCAACATTCATTTTACTCAGCTAGCTAGCAAGTTTACGCTTTGTGTCCAACACTGTTGTTAGCATAGCTAACTAATGTTAGCCTAACCTTAGCTAGCCAGTTGTGCTGGAAATTTTCTCAGCTAAATTGATCAATGCCGGTGTATTTCTGTCATTGTCGTCAGCCTGCCTACCAGAATCTGCGACAGAAAGTTGACAACTTTGTATCCACTCATTTGAGCACTCAAGAATGGAACCCATCAATCAACAAAAATCAAGTGCGAAATGGGCTAAGACAAAGCGTCGTGCAGTAAGTAGCTACAGTAATTCATATGCTCATAATTCTGCTTGTAAGTGACAAATGCATTGCTGACAGTACATATAAGTTACAGAGAGCCTTTTTCTCTCAAGCCAAGGCTGGAATGCAGTAGGTGCCATCAGTTGTTTATGCTGATGCTACAGTCATTAGTCATCTGTACTGTCTCTGTGGTGTGTCAGGTCAGGCATGCTGGAGTCTGGAGTGGACAGAATCATCACCCAGGTGGTGGATCCCAAATTGAACCACACATTCAGGCCCCACATTGAGGATGCCATTCATGACTTCCTGTCTGCGGAGAAGAAGGAGGAGGGTCCATCCAACACTCCATCAGAGACCGAGCAACAAGAGGCTCCAAGCCACACTGGACCCAAAACGCCATGAGGTCAGTGCGTCACGCACACCTTAACATAATGGACAAATCTACAGGCATTGAACTGTAGTATAATCTCCTCAAAGTTTCACGTTCTCACAGTTTGTCTTCTTCTCTCCTTTTACTTCAGGTGCAGAGAAACGTTTTCTGGTAAAGGTAGAATTTAATAGAGCTCCACCAGGCTGGATGGACAAAGACCTACTGTGGAGTAATCATGGAGCAAGAGGTTTGCACAACTCTTAGTCGTTCTTCATGTGGAGAAACCAAGCCGTGGAATTTAGCTGTCAATGCTGGACATGCGTAACAACTACCAAATAATGCCCGTACCAGGTCAAAGGGGGAATCATGCAAATTACACTATGGTATAGCACTCTCAAACTCAACTCTGGACCTCGAAGCCAGTTCCACTGCATTATTTTCATTGTTCCTCTCTAATCAGGGACTGATTTTGACCTGAGACACCAGGTGTGTGTGCAATTAATTATCAGGTAGCAGAGAACCAGCAGGCAACGGACCTTGTAGGGTAAGAGTTGAGTACCCCGGTATAGCACAATAAACTGAATGTGCCATTTTATGGCTTGAAATGTAGTTTGTGGGTATTGAATTAAAGAGAATTGTAACACGTAGCCATTGTAATGTTGGTTTACAGATTTTGTCCCTCTGTTTTTGACACTTTTGGTGAATATTGTAAATAAATGTTTTCACCAATAAATTAATGATTTGGTAGAAATGTGTACACTGCCCTGTCATTTGTTAAACTGGGTCAATAGAACATGTGCTGTACTGGCTGTGGTAAGACTACATTTCTAAGTTAGCCTAGAACAGCGTTTTCCAAACTCGGTCCTCAGGATTCCAAGTGGTGCATGTTTTGGATTTTGCCCTAGCACTACACAGCTGATTTCCTATATTTTTATTAGATTAGATCCATCCAGAGCACAATCAGTGAGATCTGTTCAGGGTAGGAATGTGCACTGTGTTCCTAAGAGGACACAGTTCTGGGCAAAAGCATAAAAGGGAGTGCTGCAGTTTTTTGCCAGTTCTAGACTTAACATCTGGAGTACAACCCAGGTTATGAAACTAGCTGCCGGGGGTGGAGGTAGGTAGAACAGGCAGCCTCTGACTGAGAGGCTTGTTGGCATTCCTCTGGGCAGGCAGGGTGCAAGTTGATTGGCAGTGCCTGGGAGCACGGCATGTTGCTGTCTCAACACATCCATGCTATATTTCTCTCGCTGCCCTCAGCCATGTAGGAGTGAGGCTTAGCTCCACGGCCCTAAGATGCAGCTCCAAGGCCCCCAGTAAAGGGAGGGGGACGAGGGGCTCTGGATGAGCTGTGCAGAGTGTTCCCGCCTGGCTGGGACAAAGGTTGAATTGTCAGAGCTGCCTGGATGGAGCTGCTTCTGTCATTCACCACCTCGCCTCTGAGGACGTGCAGACTAGCAGGCCCACTGTGCTGCACCACTGAGAACTGGCAAGCAGGCATTTCTGCTCTTTTTTCTTCTCTTTTTTTTATCAGAGACCTCCGACACTACAGAATGACAGAAGGAAATTGTATGTAGTAGACGGATAAGCGTTTAGGGTAAGTGGATACTGAATGGACATTGAATGTAGCTAATTTGTTGGTTGCACACACACATACACACAAATTGAGTAAAGGTCCTGGTGGTGTCTAAGTGGTGTGTCAGGTTTTCAGAGACCAGCGGCATGGCTACGTGACTCCAGCCCCCACCCTGACGTCAGTGTCTGCTGCTCACGCTAATTAAGATGCTTTGCCACAGTTCCTCCATCTGGGGAAACCCAATCCTGTCCTGATTTTAACGCTACAATTGTCAGCTGTCTGGTGTGAGTAATCAGAATCCAGGGTGAGGAATTTAATGCCCTGGCTCCACTGCACTCTAGCTGGAAGTCTCTGGTCTTCACTTTGTCTTGTCAGTAGGGGAGAGTGGGGTATGTTGAGCCACCCTTGTTTCTAGGAAACCATACACAAAATTAATCATTTGACCAAATATTTAGGAAAAGGTCATAATTTCATGGAGTCTGAAGGAAGAAACCACGTTGAAAAAGTCAAATGAATTTGTGCTAGAGGTTTCATAATGATTGTATCTAAACCAAAGTAGATAATTTAAAGATTGTTTTATACATCAGTTGGGGTCTCTATAAGCTTCAATATGAGGTCCTAAACCTAACATGAAAGTGCATCCTTGTAGCTGTGTGGCCTAATTTAGTCAAACTGTTTGCCTTGGGGTAAGTTTAGCCAATGGTTGAGCAAATTGAAGCGTTTTCTTACCAGGTGTAATGCAAGGCATTATCGCTGGGATATGAGGAACAACAGGGCCTGTCCAATGTTAAACGTAAAAAAAAAAAAAAAAAATGTGTTTGTTAGGCATTAAGCCTTTGTTAAAATATGCTTAAAATGATTTTTTTTTTTTTTAAGTGATTGTGTTGAATTGTGTTTGGGAAATAAAGTTAAACATTGTTTTAAAAAGTGAGTGCTAAAATTTCATTCAGTACAGAAATTTGTAGGCGGCTTATCTTACCCTGTCCTGTGGCTCAACTTACCCCATTCCAAGTGCCAAGAGACCTTTTTTTTCAGAATTTTCTAAACTGTATGTTTACATGAATTCTGATTATTTCCAGGGATACACAACATCCTGAAATATACAGTACCAGTCAAAAGTTTGGACACACCTATTCATTCAAGGGTTTTTCTTTATTTTTAATATTTCCTACATTGTAGAATAATAGTGAAGACATCAAAACTATGAAATAACACATATGGAATCTTCTATAAAGAATCATGTAGTAAACAAAAAAGTGTTAAACAAATCAAAATATATTTTATATTTGAGATTCTTCAAATAGCCATCCTTTGCCTTTATGACAGCTTTGCACACTCTTGGCATTCTCTCAACCAGCTTCACCTAGAATGCTTTTCCAACAGTCTTGAAGGAGTTCCCACATATGCTGAGCACTTGTTGGCTGCTTTTCCTTCACTCTGCCATCCGACTCATCCCAAACCATCTCAATTGGGTTGAGGTCGGGGGATTGTGGAGGCCAGGTCATCTAATGCAGCACTCCATCACTCTCCTTCTTGGTAAAATAGCCCTTACACAGCCTGGAGGTGTGTTGGGTCATTGTCCTGTTAAAAAACAAATGATAGTCCCACTAAGCCCAAACCAGATGTGATGGCGTATCACTGCAGAATGCTGTGGTAGCCATGCTGGTTAAGTGTGCCTTGAATTCTAAATAGCACCCTCACACTATAACACCTCCTCCTCCATGCTTTACGGTGGGAACTACACATGCAGAGATCATCCGTTCACCCACACCGTGTCTCACAAAGATACGGCGGTTGGAACCAAAAATCTCAAATTTGACTCCAGACCAAAGGAAACATTTCCATTGGTCTAATGTCCATTGCTTGTGTTTCTCGGCTCAAGCAGGTCCTTTCTTATTATTGGTGTCCTTTAGTAGTAGTTTCTTTGCAGCAATTCGACCATGAAGGCCTGATTCACACAGTCCCCTCTGAACAGTTGATGTTGTGATGTGTCTGTGACTTGAACTCTGTGAAGCATTTATTTGGCCTGCAATTACTGAGGCTGGTAACTCTAATGAATTTATCCTCTGCAGCAGAGGTACAGTGAGGGAAAAAAGTTTTTGATCCCCTGCTGATTTTGTACCTTTACCCACTGACAAAGAAATGATCAGTCTATAATTTTAATGGTAGGTTTATTTGAACAGTGAGAGACAGAATTACAACAAAAAAATCCAGAAAAACGCATGTCAAAAATGTTATAAATTGATTTGCATTTTAATGAGAGAAATAAGTATTTGATCCCCTCTCAATCAGAAAGATTTCTGGCTCCCAGGTGTCTTTTATACAGGTCACGAGCTGAGATTAGGAGCACACTCTTAAAGGGAGTGCTCCTAATCTCAGCGTTTTACCTGTATTAAAGACACCTGTCCATAGAAGCAATCAATCAATCAGATCAAGGACAAGATTGTAGACCTACACAAGGCTGGAATGGGCTACAAGACTATCGCCAAGCAGCTTGGTGAGAAGGTGACAACAGTTGGTGTGATTATTCGCAAATGGAAGAAACACAAAAGAACTGTCAATCTCCCTCGACCTGGGGCTCCATGCAAGATCTCACCTCGTGGAGTTGCAATGATCATGAGAACGGTGAGGAATCAACCCAGAACTACACAGGAGAATCTTGTCAATGATCTCAAGGTAGCTGGGACCATAGTCACCAAGAAAACTATTGGTAACACACTACGCCGTGAAGGACTGAAATCCTGCAGTGCCCGCAAAGTCCCCCTGCTCAAGAAAGTGTTGTGAGATGAGACCAAAATGGAGCTCTTTGGCATCAACTCAACTCGCCATGTTTGGAGGAGGAGGAATGCTGCCTATGACCCCAAGAACACCATCCCCACCGTCAAACATGGAGGTGGAAACATTATGCTTTAGGGTTGTTTTTCTGCTAAGGGGACAGGACAACTCCATCGCATCTAAGGGGCGATGGATGGGGCCATGTACCGTCAAATATTGGATGAGAACCTCCTTCCCTCAGCCAGGACATTGAAAATGGGTCGTGGATGGGTATTCCAGCATGACAATGACCCAAAACACACGGCGAAGGCAACAAAGGAGTGGCACAAGAAGAAGCACATTAAGGTCCTGGATTGGCCTAGCCAGTCTCCAGACCTTAATCCCATAGAAAATCTGTGGAGGGAGCTGAAGGTTTGAGTTGCCAAACGTCAGCCTCGAAACCTTAATGACTTGAAGAAGATCTGCAAAGAGGAGTGGGACAAAATCCCTCCTGAGATGTGTGCAAACCTGGTGGCCAACTACAAGAAACATCTGACCTCTGTGATTGCCAACAAGGGTTTTGCCACCAAGTACTAAGTCATGTTTTGCAGTGGGGTCAAATACTTATTTCCCTCATTAAAATGCAAATCAATTCATAACATTATTGACATGTGTTTTTCTGGATTTTTTTATTGTTATTTT